CGCACATTTTGTTTTTGCGCACTAAATTATGTATTAATAATCAAAATACGTAAAGTTGAAATTACTTTTTGACAGAATTGACCGGAGTTTATTGGAGCCATAGATGACTTTTTTAGTTATTATTGTATAATTTATTAATTTTTTCTTTATTTTATTAATGTAATACGTAGCACGTAGTATATTTTTAATATAATGTTTCAGTGTAACCGAACGGGTTCATCATTCATTTAGAAAAATTAAATGTTAATTGTTTCATTTAGTAATGATAAAACGCAATTTTAACACATTTATATTTAACAAAGTTCATTTGATAAGTTTCAAAGAAGTTGAAGTATATATGTACGGATAAAATTCAGTGTCCAATCAAATATACTCTCCTGTCACAAAAAAAATCTTTTACTTATCATTTTGGATATCCGTATGTAAAATTGTTTCATTTCCATTTTGAAAAGTTTGTTCAAAATCAAACTGAGTTCTTTTTACAACGGAGCCACTTAGTGTACAACATCTGGTGCTTTATTGCATGTGTACATTTATCAAGTACCGCAGTTTGAGAGAATCATATAAAGTTATAATAGTGACAAAATACTTGGATACAAATAGGAGTCATTGTTCCAAAAGGTGGAATCTCCAACCCCAGGAGTCCCCCACCCCGACCCGACAGGATGGTGGGGAGGTTAGTCACGGTGACTCAATCAGCAGAATGGAAGTAGGTCCATACACCCGTGCGCATCAGAGACTCAGCCTTATTTCAGGTTCTGTGACCTCCAACCGGTCGCTGCGGGAATTCGAACTTTGGTCCATTGTTCCAAATCTCCCACCACTCGACCAACTGAGCTACCCGTGCGGGTTACAAATAGGAATCATAATATTGTAGGAGGAGGGTCACGTAGAACTTGTCATTCTAGTTGGGTCAACATTGGGCACAATAGTAATGAATTAGTGATCATCAATCATTCTTCAATTATTTTTGTTCGTGTCCGGCTTCATAGGTGAGACTAAGGAGAGAAAAATGAGAAATGACCAATCAATGGGCATTTGAGGCATTCTAAGAATGTTTTTTTGATTTTTTTCAATCAAATCATATCAGATTAGATAAGATCAAATTAGATTGCATACAACTATAAAATTGCATGGAATGAACATCATCGAATCATCTGGTTCAGATCATATCAGATTAGATTTAAATAGGTCAAATCAACATGTTAGACCAAACTAGAAATTACATTTGATATAAAATACTACCTATCCAAAGTGTATCACTTCAAACTCTTAAGATTGATTTATTATAGTATGTCTCGAGTTTAAGTTATTAAAGAGGTTCATTGGAAAAGTTCTTTTTAAATGTCTTTTGAATTGTTAACAAATTGTTATATTCTTTTGGAATTTCTCAATTTTATGTTTCAACCCATTTTATTTTAACATTAAAGCATTAGAATTGCTTTTGTAATGATGATTTCATTATTAATAAATAAGTGTTTACTTTTGAAAAAGAATCTTTTATCGTGTCTGTTTTCATGACAAGGCCGTTTTCCCTTCATAATCCGGTTGTCCTAACAAAGGATAGGTTACGAAAACCCTAAGCCGAACTCTCTCTCTCTCTCTAGGGTTGCCATTTCGGCAACGTCTAGCTCGGATTGTCCGGTGGTAATCGCACGGCGATTACGACACCAAGGTCTTTTTTCTGGCATCATTGGACGTTACTACACAGCGGCAGTTTGCAGGCGTGGAGTGTGGCTTGCTCAGACTTGACGTGGAGATCGGATTGAGGAATAGAGATTTATGGAGAATATTGGTCATCAATACAAAAAGATGGCAATTGGTGCGGAAGAAGAAGAAGGCGAGCAATGGGAAGGTGACTGTTCCGGTGATTGGCAAGATAGGTTCTCAGATGAATGTTCTTGAGGTTGAATTTCTCTTCTATCATACTACAACTGCTCGCCCTCATCCGGAACCACCTCACTGCGAGGAAGTAATTTTGGGAAAGTTTTTTGATGGATAGTCTACCCGGGGGTATATATCCGAGGGGTTATTACGGGGAGTAATTTAGAGAGAAGTCAGAGCAAGTAAATAAAGTAGAGAGAGAGTGTATTCAGCGTGTTATCACTTTTCAGCGTGGTTACAAATGAGGAAATGGGGTGCTATTTATAGCAGCAATAAATGCCGGGCAGGGACACGTGTCAAGCGCTCATTGGCCGAGGGGTCACCTCAACTGGTTGGCGCTGGCAGCCGCATGTGGCCGCATTTAATGCGGCTGTTGGATGGGACGTCTGTGCAGAGTACGGTGATCTGTACGCATGTGAGGCGGATATCTTGTCGAGTGAGATGCCTTCGGCCATAGAGCAGTAGCCGAGGGCTCTTCCTCCCGATGGCACCCCTGGTGCCGAGGGCTGCTGTTTTCGCCGTTTTCTCCCAGTTTCTTAGTTTGCTTGAGAAACCCGCTCTGTGATAATTTGGAGCCTTCGGCCAGGGGGCCGAAGGCACCCCTGTGCGTTGTGCGGACTGCTTGGTACTCTGGGCGCTGTGATTTGGGCCTGTTGGGCCTGTTGGGCCTTTGATGGAGTAGTAGGAGTCTGTGGGCCGGGGGTTCCCGGGCCATATACTCCATCAGGAGTCCCTCACTCCTTTTGCCGAAAGGTACTTGAGGGAAAAGGAGTAATTTGTGCTTGCCTTTTGATGTTGTCCTGTCGTGATCCCTGAAGTTGGTGAGGAGTTGTTGCTTTTATGTCCCTGCCGAAGGCAGTCCCTCAGTTACCCACATGTCGGGACTTGAGGGCTTGCTTTGTTGTTTGTTTGAATTTCACAGATTTTGTAATTTAATGATTTTCCCGAAGGGGTCCTCCAGTCCCCCACTCCTTGAGGCACTTGTAAAGTGGTGAAAAGGAGTAAAGTAGTTACGTTGCTGTTGTGGGCCGAAGGCTGACGCTTTTCGTTTCATTTTGGGGGGATGCCTCGTTAAAAACCTCATTAGGAAAAACCCTTTGGGAAAAAATCCTAATGAGGGAAAAAGAGTGCACCAAATTCCCCCAATGATGAATCGAAAATGTCAAACCTTGGTAAAAAGTGGAGAATGGCGGGATTGCCGAAGGCTCTCTCCTCTGAGGGCTCCTGTGTTGATTAGCCGGAGGCTTGCTGTTGATGTCCTGGCGGTGCCGAAGGGGAGCCCCTCAATCCAGGGATCGAGGGCCTGCCAGATGAGGGCAGCAGTGAAACTGTTACCGGGGGGTCCACTGTTTGTTGATGAGGTGGTGATGAAGATACCCGAGGGCCATGGGCCATCCGTCAATGAGGCGCTCCCCGGGGGCTACCCGGTTTTGCAGTGCTGAGGGGAAAACCCCGAGGGGTGTCCTGATATGAAGCCCTGAGTTTCTGAGGGAGTGATCCCGAAGGCGTCGGTTATGTGCTGTGTGGGGCACAACCCGGGGGCACTTCTGGGTGAGTGCACCCGGAGGCTATCCTTGATGAAGTGGAGTGAAGTGGAAAAACCCGGGGGCTTCCAGAATATAGCCGTTGGAAATATAGCCGTTGGAATATGTAACGACAGGATATAGCCGTTGGGGGGGTGGCACACGTGGCGTGTGATGGTTGGCTGTCCGTGGGCGGCGTCGCCGGTTGGGCGAAGACGCGGTGTGTAATGATGGCGTTCATCCGGAGGCCCGGAATCCAGGCCCAAGCCCGGATTCATCGCCTATAAATACCCCAAGGCCAGGCATTCCTCCGTGTGCGATAAACTTGTTAGCGAAGCTCTGTCAATTTTTCTAGAGAGAGAAACTCCAGCCTTCGGTCAAAACTCTGCTTTCAAGGTCAGTGCCCTGCTCCTCTCTCAAAGTTCTTAGTAAGTTCCGCCCCCTGGCCTTAGTTTAGGTTTAGAATCCTGTAGAGAGCCTTCGGAGTCTTAGGCTTATTCGTGATAAAAAATGTCGTCCGAGAGCGATTCCCAGGACATCTCGAGGACGCCCTCGATGGAAGACGAAGGTATCTCCGATGCGGAGTCTAGTAGCAGTTCGCCCTCGGGTGGTGATGCAGCTCTCGCCACCGAGATGCAGAAAGATTTGGCGGCCGAGGTCGAGGCGGAGGAATTCGAGCGAACTGTCGAAGATGAGGAGTTAGCCCTCGCCGTCCAGGTTGCTGAGGAGGAAGAGGAGAAGGAGAGGGCGAAGGTCACTGTGGCCGTCCTTCCCCCTCGGGGTGCTGGTGAGGCCAGTACCTCCCGGCCGCTGAACGCAGTTCCCATCCGGGTGGCCCCCGGGATGAAGAAGAGAAAGACGAAGGCCGCCCCTCAGAAGAAAGCAAAGACCGTCGATCAGGGGGGGCCAGTTGATCTACCGGAGGGTTACTCCTTCCTGGACACCGCCGCTCTGGAGATCAAGTCCCAAGCTGACAGGGCGGACATCTACATCACCCAATTGCATGTAGGGCCCTCGGCCGTGGTAGTCGAGCCAGGTCCTGATGACGTGCTGTCGCGGCCCCCCGAGGGATGCATAGCCGTGCACGTGCTTTCGGTCTCAATGGGCCTCCGGTTCCCTCTCCATCCGTTCCTCCGGGAGTACCTGAGGTACACCGGCCTGGCCCCCTGCCAACTGACTCCCAACAGCCACTCGTACATAACGGGGTTTGTGAACCTGTGCAAACTCCGGAAGGTTACACCGAGCCTGGAGTTATTCTTCCAAAGCTTCAACCTATGTCGGGGGGGACATACAAATGCCGAGGACTATGCGAACTTACAGCAGATAGCCCAGTTCAAGCTGTTCACTGAGGCCCCTTCTTCCAACAAGGGGTGGAGAGAGCGATGGTGCTACATCAGACTGGCCGACAGCCCGTTCCCGAGGGAGTTGCGGAATCGCTTTCGGCGCCATGTGAAGGCCAAGAGTGCCGCCCTCGAGAAGGATGGCCTGAAGATTGCAAAGATTCCCGAGGGTCGGGAAAAGAACGTAACCATCAAGGAGTGTACCCTCGAGGAGGACCTGTATGCCCTCGGATTCCTGAGGTATCGGTTCATTGGGGAGACCGATGAGAAATATCCCCTCTACGATAAAGCCTTCGTGGGAGCAGGAGGTAGTGGCCGGGGGCTTTACATTTTCGTACTTAGAGATTTTTTTGTTATGTTTGTTGTCATGTGTTTGACCCCTCGGTTCTAACCTTTCAACTTGTTGCTGTCGTTCTTTGCAGGTAGCAGGATGAATGCCAACGCCTTGTTCGCGAAGAGGAAGGGCAAGACCCAGCAAAAGGAGAAGGGGCCCTCGGGCCAGAAGCCACTTGACGCGCTTTTCCCGAAGGCCATAGAGCCTTCCGCCGGGGACGCCCATGCTGCTGTGGGGACCGGGGGGTCGAAGGCCGAGGCGGCCGCTAAGAAGAAGAGGAGCGACAAGGGGGTGGAGCCCCCCACCAAGAAGCAGAAAGGCGCCGTGGGTGCTGTCGGGGAGGCGGCCCCCCTCATAGTTATTGACGACATGCCCGCTGTTGATGGGCCTCTGGCCTCGGTCCCCCCGAAGGATCCGGTGAATCCCCCCGGGCGGAATCACCCCGGGAGATCCGTCAGCTCTCCTTTGCCCCCGGCGCCTCGTTGATGCACGGCACTGCCGAGCCGAAGGCCTTCCTGCGGGGCATCACCTCGAAGATGGATAGGGAAGTCTTCGAGACCTACGATGACGATGCCCTCGAGAACAGGATCCTCCGGTCCTCGCTCACTGTAAGTATCCACTTCCTTTTTCCTTATCTTGTCAGTTTAGTCTTATTTTTTCCGAGGAACAATCTAACTCCTTTGATCATTGTTTGCAGGCCTGCATAGCCCTCGGGGAACAGGCCCGGAGGCGCGAGGAAAGGCGTCTTCACGAGGCCGCCCAGGATAAGAAGGTGGAGGGGCTGATCCGCAAGAACTCTGAGGCGGTGAAGCATGCTGCCCAGCTGGAGGAGGCCCTTCGGGAGGCGAAGGTGGCGGCGGAGAAGGCCAAGGCTGATGGCATAGCCGAAGGCAAGGCAGAGGCCGAGAGGGCTGCTGCCGAGGCGGCGAAGAAAGCCGCCGATGAAGCCCAAACTGCTAAGGAGAGAGCTGCGGCCGAGGCCCGAGGGGAGGCAGTCGCGGAGTTCCTTGCTGAGGGCTGGAGGGCCGAGGGCCACAAGGAGTGGGTTGCTTCCGTGGTGGCAGCCTCGGTGGACGCTTGGGTAGAAGGCCCCGGGGTTGACTGGCTGACCGATAGGGGCGACGCCTACTATCAAGGGGGTGAGTTCTTTACCCAGCACCTGATATACCGGAGGCTCGCCAGGCACTTCGGCGTATCCCTCGAACAATTTGACCCCTCGGTATATGGCCTCCCTCCGTTGCAACCAGATGTCAGAGTTCCCCTCCCCCCGGGTGAAGACCGGCCAACAATCTATGATTCTGTGATGATGGGGGGTGACGGGGTTGGAGCCGTCGGGGGTGATGCTGCCGGAGAAGAAGTCTCCTCCAAGGCTGTCGTGGAAGATGCCCCCGGTGACAACGAGGCTGAAGCCGCCGAGAAGATTATTACTTAGTCAATTTTTTTAAAAAAAACCTTGTAATGAAACTTTTGTTACCCCTCGGCTTTGGCCATACTCTGTAATGATCACATTGACTATTTTTGTGTTGTAATTGAATGATTGCCTTCGGGCTTGGTGTGTATGATATGCTTCCTTCTGATCTGTTCTTTGTCGAATGTATGCCTTCGTCTTGCTTTGGATGTATGCCTTCGGTATTTTTGAATGTATGCCTAGGACTTAGAATATTTTTCGATTGTAGCTTGCCCTTGGAAGCCTTCGGTAGTTGGGCACCCTCTGCTGGATATGCCACCGAGGGTTCAGTAGGAATTAGGACTTAGAAAATCTTTCCAAGTGTAGCACAACATGGAGCCTCCGGGTGTTTGCAGTAACCCAAATCCTAGGACTTAGAAAAAAATTCTAAGTGTAGATTTCCCCTTGAGAGCCTTCGGGATATGGCCTCCCTTCCTGATGTGTGAATGTTGGACCGAGGGCCCAATGCACAGGACTTAGAGATTTTTTGCAAGTGTAGTATGTCATGTGGCCTTCGGCTACTGTGGAGCCCTAACTGAAATACTGAATAGGCCGGGGGCCAATTTTTTAGGACTTAGAAAATTTTCTTGAGTGTTGATTCCTTGTGTATTGTAGCCCTCGATTGAGAGAGAGCCCTCGGCAATTAGGTCCCTTGAGATGAGGGTGAAATATGTAGGACTTAGAAAATCTTCTAAGTGTAGAGTTTCCCTCGAGAGCCTTTGGGAGATGGCATCCCTTCTTGATGTATGAGTAGTTGACCGGGGAAAACATGTAGGACTTAGAAAATATTCTAAGTGTAAAGTCTCCCTTGGGAGCCTTCAGGAGATGACATCCCTTCTTGATGTATGAGTAGCTGACCGGGGAAAACATGTAGGACTTAGAAAATATTCTAAGTGTAAAATCCCCCTTGGGAGCCTTCGGTAGATGGTATCCCTCCTTGATGTATGAGTAGTTGACCGGGGGGAAATACATGTAGGACTTAGAAATTATTCTAAGTGTGAATTTTCCCTTGGGAGCCTTCGGGTGATAGGTGCCCTCTGATTCCACATCACTTTGCGAGATGCCCGGGGGCTACTCGTTTAGGACAGAATACCCCCTTTTTTTAAGTGTTGTTGTATTGCATGGCCTTCGACCACCATATTCCCTTGGCTGTAATATTGATTGGGCCGGGGGCCCAATCTTTAGGACTTAGAATTTTTTCAAGTGCTGCTTCCCTGTGTAGCCTTCGGGTGCCCGGGGGCTGCTCCTTCAGGACATAGAATTTTTCCTAAGCATACATTGATGTTGACTCCTGTTGTTGTGAAGAAAGCCAATGAGGAGTGTGTGCCCTCGGCATACACTTTAAAAGTTGTAGAATTAGACCCTTGTCATGGGGAGAGGGCCCTCGGTATTTGTGCATAACAGATGCGTTTGGTGGTCGTTTGAAGTACCGTTTATTGGACCTTGGACAGTCCAGTCCCTTTGTATTGTTGAAGCCTTCGGTGTCTTTGTGACCGGAGGTGACCAGGTAGTGGACTTAGCCGTTTCCTGATGATATTTCCTTGAGTAGTATCCTTCGGGAAATAGGAGTCTTCAGTTACCGGAGGTACTCTTTGATTGTAGGGAGCCCTCGGCTTGTTGTGATCTGTTGGAGTGTACTCTTTGATTTCTCGCTGAGTCTACTCCCCTTCACCCCCTCTTTTTTTTTTTTTTTTTGGTGGTGAAGGGAAGGCATCAAGAAACTTGGTTTCTTGGTAAGGCTGGGCCTATTAGGAGACCATCAGAATACACCAATGGCTCTCCTCCCTCGGGTTAACCTTCCGAGTTCCGAGGGGATCGAGGGACGTTTCCTAGGCACAAGATATGGTGGTCCGTAACCTGCCTCCCCTTGGGGGATGGCGCGGAAAGCGCCTCATTTTTGAAAGTCGTCCCCTCGGCGCTAGACATAGTCCATGGCCTGCCACACCCTTGGGGTGGTGGCGCGGGGAGCGTTTCGGTTTGGAAGTCGAATCCTGGGCATTTCTCATGCCTGTCATACCCTGGGGGTAATGACGCGGATAGCGTTCCGTTTTTGAAAGTCGAATCCTGGGCATTTCTCATGCCTGTCATACCCTGGGGGTAGTGACGCGGAAAGCGTTTCAAGGAAGGGTTTTCATTTGCACACTAGTGGCAAATGGCCGGGCGCACTACGTGCCGCCGGCACCGATGGTGGCGCCTTCGGTATATGCGTCCTCGTGGGGTACGACTTTTAGAAACAACACTTGGTGTTAGTTTCGATGTGTAGCCCCCCGGTACTTGGTACCGAGGGGTTTTCTGTAGGAACACTTGGTGTTCTCTTTTGTTGTAGTTGATGTGGGCGTCTACCCTCGGTACTTGGTACCGAAGGGTCTTCAAATGAAACACTTGGTGTTTCCCAACAGATGTTTGGAAGTTGATAGGAGAGCATATCCCTGGCACTGGGTGCCGAGGGGTCTTCTTTGATGATGTTTGATGATGGAGGTGTACCCTCGGCACTGGGTGCCGAAGGGTCTTCTGTAGGAACACTTGGTGTTCTCATCTTTTCTTTTTTGATGTTGAAGGTGGGGATGTACCCTCGGCACTGGGTGCCGAAGGGTCGTCTGTAGGAACACTTGGTGTTCTCATCTTTTCTTTTTTGATGTTGAAGGTGGGGATGTACCCTCGGCACTGGGTGCCGAAGGGAAATGAAATACATGGTGTTCCTTGTTGTTGGTGATAGGAGTTCCCTCCCTCGGTACTTGGTACCGAGGGGTCTTGACTGAAAACACGTGGTGTTTTCACTGTTTGTTGTAGGTGTTGATGGTGTCCGCCCTCGGCATTTGGTGCCGGAGGGGGTTCTTCTCGTGGTGAGGCATGGGGCCTGTAGTCAGTATGAGGGCTCGATGTCTTGAATGTATCTTCATTCTTCGAAATTGGAGGCCTTGGGCCATAGGATAGTACATTCACTAGTTATGAGGGCTTGGCCGCTCTTACATTATTGATAAAATTTAACTAAATGGTGTACATTCCAGTGCCTAGGGACTTCTTTCCCATTGGGGCGTTTGAGCTTGTAGGTCCCGGGTTTGATGATGGCTGCTATGATGTAGGGGCCTTCGAATTTTGGTGCCATTTTTCCTCCCTCGGTTGGCTGGCTGGCTTCCCTCCTCCGGAGGACATAGTCCCCCACTTGAAATTCTCGGTAGCGAACTTTGGCGTCGATGTAGCTTTTAACTTGCCTTTGGTAGTTTTCTGCCCGGATGAAGGCTTGCTCCCGGCGTTCTGAAATGAGGTGAAGGTCGAGGGCCATGTTGCTGTCGTTGACCTCGGGGTCATATTGGATCACCCTTCGGGTAGGAAGGGTGACTTCCGTAGGAGCTTTGGCTTCAAAACCGTAGCAGAGGGAGAAGGGTGTTTCTCCTGTTGCTCGCCGAGGGGTGGTGCGGTAGGCCCAAAGGATGTTGTGAAGTTCTTCTACCCAGCCACCGCCCTCGGCCTCCAGCTTCTTTTTGAGGCCCTCGAGCAAGGTCCGGTTGGCATTCTCTACTTGCCCGTTGCCTTGAGGGTAGGCAACGGAGGAGAAGGTGTGTTTGATGCCCCATGCCTCCAGAAGGGCACAGAAGGGGGCTGCCTCAAATTGTGTCCCATTGTCGGAGATGATCTGCTGGGGGACGCCAAACCTTGTGAGGATGTTCTTGAGGACGAAGTGACGGCACTTCGCTTCTGTGATGCTGGCGAGGGGTTCAGCCTCCACCCATTTGGTGAAGTAGTCGACGGCCACAATGATGTACCTGTTGTTGAAGGTACCCCTCGGCAGAGGGCCCACAAGGTCTATCCCCCATCGAGAAAAAGGGACAGATGTGCTGATGGGGGCATAGTTGACCGCTGGCCTGCCGGGGGCTTTCTGGAAATGTTGACACGCGGTGCACCTCCGGGCAAGGTCAGCACAATCCCTGGCCATAGTTGGCCAGAAATAGTCCTGGAGAATGAGCCTTCGGGACATGGAGAAGGGTCCCTGGTGAGCTGAGCAAGTGCCACTGTGCACTTCCTCCATTGCGACCTCGGCTTCATCTGGATGAAGGCACCGAAGTAGCGTGCCATTGTAAGATCGTTTGTAGAGCCTCCCGTCTTCGATGGTGTAGCTGGGAGCCCTCAGCTTTGCCAGTTTAGCGCGGGATTCATTCTCGGGTAGCTGCCCTGTGGAAATGAAGGTGGTGATATCTGAGATCCAATCCTCCTGACGTTGTTGTATGTTCATCACGGGGCTCGCATGGATGCTTGAGAGGCTGAGTTCCTCGATTTTGGCAATTTTGGAGATGTGCTCGGGGGAGTCGGCCGAGAGCTTAGATAATATGTCGGCCTCGGAGTTCTGAGCCCTCGGTATTTGAGTAAGAGAGTGTGCCTCAAATACCTTAAGCAACTCCTTGGCTGCTTCCTTGTACTGTTTCATTCTCCCCTCCTTGGCCTCATATTCTTCGGAGATTTGGCCAACGACCAACTTAGAGTCGCATTTGATGTGGATCTGCCGAGCCCTCATGTTGGCAGCCAGCCGAAGGCCACATAGGAGGGCCTCATATTCGGCCTCATTGTTGGAGACCTTGAAGGAGAAGCGGATTGCATAGTAGGCCCTGAAGCCCTCGGGAGTAATGAGGACTACCCCTCCCCCGCATGCTTTGGTCGCGGAGGAGCCATCAGTGTAGAGGGTCCACCAGTCGTCCGAGGTAGCCGAGGGCTCCCCGTCCGTGGCTGCCCTTGCGGTACACTCCGTCACAAAGTCCGCCAGGGCTTGGCCCTTGATGGCGGGCCTTGGGCGGATGTCAATGTTGTACTGGCTCAAGAAGATAGCCCATTTCACCATGCGGGAGGAGCTGGTGGGGCTCCTCATGAGGGCGCCGAGGGGTTGATGGGTGAGGACCTGAACCGGGTGA